AGTGATCTGCATATCAGGTCCGCCTACAAAATTATGCAAGTGAGACATGTATTTGAAGCACAGCGGATAATGTTTTAACAACTATCATCGGTTAATTATAGGCTTAGTATGCTAATGCAGTTTGAATTTGCAATATTTTAAGGAGTTTAGGAAGTTGCACTTTTACGCTCGATCTACTTGCTTTCTGTTTTTCTGCTGGTATCAAAATTGGGTTTTTGATAGAACCAGAAACTATTCTGTTCAGAGTTTTGATTTATCTATCCAACGATTTTCGCTAAACAATTCCTCCTACGTTCTATATATTTACACAACAAATTTTGCAAAGTTTCTTTGAACTTTAGAACTCTTTTCAATAGATCAATCGATTCGACAAGAAAGAAGATAGAGCTTAACTGCTTAGATTTAATAAATCATCTGCTTTAAAATATTACTTCATAAATAAGCAAACATATCTTAAAGGCATTTGCTCAGACTAGAATTTAATAAAACTTGTGTTTAAGTTAATCCCCAGAAAAAAAAATACTTAATTACTGCTCGTATTAAGCAAGCTTTAAGTTGGGACTTGTGTTGAGTAACTATTCCTTTATAATACTAAACTATGTGTGAAGGAGGATTCGTTCAAGTGGCGTAATAGAAATATTTACAATTATAACGCCTCCCAAAATTGTAAAGCTAAATTATAGATCAAGCAAAACTCAGGAATAATTATCTGGTTTTAATAATAATACTCTTTTGGTGATTTGGATTATCAGTTCTAACATGTAAATGAAGCTCTAATTATATATTTGCAGAACATTATGAAAGCATTTAGTTAAACCTACCACATTTGTAGATCGCTATCGCGATTCAAAGCGCTAAAATTTCTCGCACGAATATTTGCATTTGATTTTCCATGGTCAAATGCCCATCTCGATACGGTTTAGAGATTCGCATACGAACTACAATGCACTGCGGCTGTTGCTCGTTTTTGCTACGAAGATAATGTATCAATACAAACTGAACTTAACGCTTCACTTATATAAAATATTGTTAGTTTCTTTGGCAGTGCAAAATTGCTTCTAGCTCGTTGTTCCTGCTCATGGTGAATACAATTGAATCGTTAATTTCCTGAATATGTTATCTAATTTTTTAACCCACAACTGGCTGAATTGTTGTTTTATATTAAATTTCACAACAAAATTTATATAGGTTTTTTTTGTGTTTTCTTCTATGTTATTTTGAATCCTTGCTTTTTTTGTTGTTGACAGTTCTGTTTTGATTCGTGCTTTCTGTAATGATTTTTTCGTTGGGAAATGTTATGAATAATCTATATTTGAACGCTCATGCAGTTTAGAACGTGTTAAATGCCATACTTTTGAGAAAATTGGTTGAAAAGTTGAAAAAAAAATTAATGCACATTGGGATTCGAATGCACTTCTGAATATTACACATTTTTTGATGAAAACTGTATACTAATAATTTTTTTCAAATAAATTTGTTTGAGTAGTACTAAATACATTCGCTCGTATTTTGCGATTTTACGAGACAATAAACGTTGAATGAATGACGAAGATGGTCGAAGAAATCGTAAATCCTAAATTAAATAAAGTTCTTCTATGAAACTACGTAAAGATCGGCTTCTAAGTTTTTCCATACTAAGAAGTTTTGAACGAACTTATTTTGGGTACTTTGGGCTTGTTAGGGACTTTGGACTATTAACTTCAGATAGATAAATAACACAAAACCTAAACACAAGAAATCATAATAAAATAAGATTTACATGTTTTGTTGTGTAGAATTTGGCAATTTCGTTGGAATATCGATGATATGCTATGGGCCCTTGCGTTCAGATCCACTTGCATACAGGAAAGATTTATATAGTACATATTATACCATTGGCCAAGGCTATAATTTATCCTTTCAAAATTAGAACTGGTGGTTTATGAAAGATGGTATCTGCGATCACCAATTTAAAAGCGGTGCACAAAGAATGCCGGTTATAAGGTGATAGGAAATCTGATAAGGTTAATTGACAAGCCCGGCACTCATGGCGCCAATTGCCAAAGCGGCCAGCAGGCAGCTAAAGAAGAAGAAAAAAGAAGAGCAGAGTTTCGAACAAGGCCCGTCTGGAGGGTTTCTTTGAATTTTTAATCGAAATCGGATACCAATTCGTCGAAAACTCCTTCGTTTTTGTGATGGTTATTGATTTTGGTTAATCGTGATTGAATTTTCGTTTCTATGATTAGCTGCAAATTCATTTTAATTAGGCGAACTTCACTATCCACTCTTTACCGTGTACCTCTTTTTATTGTTCTACATTCTTCAGTAACTTTGACAAATAAATTGTATATTTTAAGATACGCAGCTTAGGTAAAGTGATATTAGGCTCATTATGAATGCGTCTCGTTACATGCAATGGTGCTTTTAATCCCATAATATTGTGTATCAAAATATAGCACAATGAAAAATATTTCATCATCAAACTTTAACGCTTTATGGTAACGGACAGGCAATAAACTTCCTTTGGGGGCTTGAAAGAAATATTCAGAAACAAATATAACTATTTGATACAAACGTTTCTGCATATCAAATTGAAATTAATTTTGAGAAATCTGGAATTACTCGTGGATAAAGTGCCGTATAATATTGAATATAATATAAATTATGAAATGTCTTCGAAACTTTGGTAGTAGCAAAAAGTCAAAAACAAATGTACTGTGTTTTGGATAAATAGTCAAACTATAGACAGATTGTATTCAGGTGCATCTTCAGATTAAATAATCTGGTCGGACATCCATTGCCTTCTTAACTATGTTAAATACTTACGATTGTATCAGTTCAGTGCGACATTCTTTGATTATTTAAGATGAATTGATGAACTGTTAATAGGGAAAAGCATAATTATCCGCAGGCAAAGTTTGCAAAATAATTGTTTCATTAATTGCTTGGGAAACTCTCGATCTATAGCGGAAAGTCTCCTGATAAATACTTGTATATGTATTACGCGATTTCCTGCCTTTCCATGATTTTCCACTATTCCACCATGCCCTTCTATTCGCCTGATACAGTTTCCGTCAAACCGGAAGTTTCGTCCTTATTTTACATTATTTGTTAACGTCGGACATATGACAAGGTTTTTTCCTTCACCTAGTGACTGAGGTAAAAAATATGTTTCTGGAGGTGATATTTATTGGGATCAATCTTTATTGGGTTAAATTATATGAAATATTGGGTTTTATAGCAAAAGAAACCATTTGCTAATGGACATTTTATTAGAGGGTATATATAATTATTGATTTCAGTTCATTCATTTATCGGTGGCTAAATCAGTGTTTCACATTAGATTATACTTATTTCACGGAAACATGCATATTTGTTAATAAATAATACGTTTCGTTCATCGGCGCGCAAACTGCATCAATTTCATGTTCTATATTTTTTATACCTGTGTTTTATGGATTTTCCATGAAACTCCGATATCCAGGTTTTACCGATGCCTATTGCTGCTAGCCTGGTCGTTGTATCCCAAAAAATGGAACTTTTCTTCCATTTTCCAGGTTTCCCCAACATATTTCCCAGGAAGCACAAAAGTATAATTTTCCTAATTGTTTGAACACTTTCTTTTCATTTTGTTTCAACACCTTGCTATGTCAAAGTAGAATGAAATTAGTTAATGTTTGCTTCCCACTAAATACGTTGGGAGAAAAAGGACTTGCGCTCATTGAAACAAACCGATGATTATAATGGAATTTCCCTGAATTTTACTTTACCTTGGCTGTTACCGGAAGTGCTATAGCAGGATAGCAGAAAATGTGCTGGATCGACTGCCTTTGATGACAACAAGTGGTTGGTATTTCGGGGGCGGATTTTCCGGAGGCGGATCAAACCTGTTCATATCAACAGGTGTTTGGGAATGGGTTTGTTTATTAGGAGGTGAAAAGCGTCTCATGTGCACATTGGAAAATGTAACGGCAAACTTTTATGGTGAACAGGCGACAAAGCAAGCGCTTTTTCCTGCTGTATAGGTGCAAGTGCGTGAAACATATGAAACGAGTTTTCTTTATTAATGTGTAACAGACAATTCAGACGATTTTAATGAAATGTTTACAGTTTGCTGCTAACCGTAGAAAACATATTTTGGATTTATTACAATTTGCCAGAAGCGCGTTTACTGTGCAGCCGGGTTAAGTTATAGCAGAAAAAAACGCTTGGATTTTTTTTGGTCACACACGATTTTTTTAATTAAGGGAATAAGTAAGGGWCCTTTTTTAGYCTCAGACTTTCACTAWTCCTTCCACTGCCTTCTGGYATTTCGTTTCCGCGAAGAAATGATCCATAGAAGAAAGTGTTCCGTAGTAAGTAGTAGTAGTAGGAAGKAAATGTTTTATTACTCTTTGMTAATCAGTGTTGAAAATGTTAATTTGCTTCAATACAAAAGATAATTGACTWGCAACCCTATGACAATCGCAAAAAGAGCTACTGACTGTTATTTTTGGTATCCAATAAACTAACCAGTTGTCTTGTTGCCCCTCTTGAAAGTACTGYGAGGGTTGTAAATGATTTACTTATTAAAAAACTATTTTTTTTTACAAATTTTGTCAATTTKTGTCTCGAAAACATTTTCGCCATAAYATTATAAATTAAAACGTGCTTGTTTTGATATGGWATACTAAAAGTTTTAAGAACCAGTTTTGCTCTWTRAAGTGATTGTAAGTTGTCAGCTTGTTTGGTTTTGGAAAGATCAATMATTATTGAATGAGCKTCCGAAGACATCAATTTAAGAGTTTTYCGGGTTCAAACCAGGTGTTGAATTTAGTATAAGAATAAAATACGTAATAATGCTACATATTGCATTTACGAGTATTTAAAATAAATTATTTTATTTGTCGTTTGTAAATCTCAAAATAAGAATTATTTTTATCTGGTTTATCGGTTATAAACGAATAACCTTGAGAAATATGTATAATTTATTATTCATCATTGACTATCAGCATCATTTATGTAGATGCAGTTTATTAAAGCGGATTTAAATCATTTATTGGCACAATAAAAAAAGTTTAGTATAATTCGTTACATTCATTATGATATAATTAAAATGCTACAAGCATTAGACTCTTTGATCAAAAGTGGCATTTTCGGTAGATGCGTTTAAATCATCCCTGTCTTTTGAGGTACTAACGATACTCTGTCGGGGGGTTGGCGGTGCGGAGGTATCAAGGGTCTGAAGTTCTTTCTGACTTCTATAATGCACCACTCCTGAACCGAATGCATCTCCCATCACATTCACAGCAGTGCGGAATCGATCTCTAGAATTGGACAAGGTTAATTAATTTTTGAAATGTGCGCTAGTTGTTCCAGAAAGTCCAGATACCGAATATTTTGTATTAGTGGTAAGTTTTTGAATGACCAGACTTCTTCAAGAGGAAGGACATTGAACGCAGATTGTAATAAAATGAAGCCATTGAATAAAATTGACTTACAATAACCAATCGACCGCCAATATGAGTGTAACATCTTCAGCAGGTAATCCTACAGTGTCCAACACCATTACCATTGTAACCAAGCCGGCTTGAGGGATACCAGCTGCTCCTATGCTAGCGGCTGTAGCAGTAATACTAATGGCAATAATCCGGCCAATGTCCAAAGACACACCTCGAACCTAAAATAATTAAGAATATTCCTGAGGTTAAAAAGCGAAGCCTTAAATTATCTTGGCTGTTGATTAGTTTGAGATCGATGCTCCACATACCTGGGCAATGAATATGGCAGCTACAGCTTCATATAACGCTGTTCCATCCATATTAATTGTAGCTCCAATTGGAAGGGTAAATCTAGCTATTCTAGGATCTATACCAAGTTTTTCTTCAAGGCATTTGATCGTTAGTGGCAATGTGGCCGTACTAGGGTACAATTTACCATGTTGATTTATGAACTGATTATTTTAGTATGTTTTCGAACGTAGTTTCTTACCTAGAAGCTGTTCCAAAGGCAGTAGCTATAGCCGATCCGAGACACTTAATAAATGTGAAAGGATTTCTTTTTGTCAGCGCAAAATACAACAGCGGCAGAATAATGAATCCTTGTATAAACAAACCTATCATCACGGTTAAAAAGTATAATCCCAGCCCACTCATTACAGACGCTAAAATTTAGAGCGTTGTTAATATTATTTCAAGCAGCTGCAATTGGTAAGGATGCAAGCATCTAATTTACTCGTTAAACTTAATGTTGCTTACCCATATCGTCCATTTCCAATATTTCGGCACAGACGAGGAACATAATACCTATCGGCGAAAGCGTGATTATCCAGGACGTTATTTTCATCATCATTGTCAATAAGTTATGGAAAAAGTTTGCCATTGTTCTAGTTTCTTCTCCCAATTGACCTAAAGCAATGCCAATAGCGGCGGAAGCGACTACCAATCCCAGAATATTAGTAGTTTGATTTATTTCCGTTCCTATCGTAAAGTTGTACGTATCTAAAATGACGACAAGTTGTAGCTAATATTGTGAATTTATACTCAGTTGAAACAGTAGGTATTTATAAAAATCGTAATTGTTTGTTTGGCTGACTAGATTGAACTTACCATTATCTGAATCGTTTTTCGGAGTCAAGGTGGTGCGATACTAGAACAAAAGGGAATTTTGCTTTCACAGTTATGTAAAAACGTATCTACTGCGTTTTATTAGGTACCTAAGCGAACATGTTGGTGAAGTACTTTTAGATTGAAATTGCTTAAGGTAGCTCACCTGGAATATTGTTGCCTCAATCAAGTTTGGTGGAAACATATTTCTGAAAAGTGCAGAAAATGTTAGTTTTATCCGCAAGCTTTACTCGATTAGTTACCTGATAAGATCTAGTAGTGTGTCAACGGTAGTAATATTTCGTTCTGTCAGTGATGTCGAGCTAGAAGTACTAAGAGTTCTTCCAACCCCCGGTTGAATCGACATTACTACAATTATACCAAGCACAACAGACGCGAATGTGGTGGTTAGATAATATGCAATGGCTCTAAATGCTATCTTTTTGGATAGTGTAAGATCCAGACTGCAAATTGCTGATACTACAAAACAAAGTCTAATGAAACCGCATTGAACCGGCCTAGGCATGGTTAAAGGCATTGATTAAATGCAGGATATATTTACAAAAAGTTAAGACGCCCAAGAATTTCCTCAATAATAACGATTTTATTGCGGTAAAGATAAGTAAAACTTGCGTTACACCCGCCACAAATAGAGCGACATGATTATTCTTAAAACACGCATCTGATATGTGCCCAGTTTAACCATCAATGGCATCCGAAGTTTGTTTATGTGGCCAGAACGATTTCATGATTCCATTTTTTACAAGTCTTAAGCCGGGAAGAATCTGCTTTCTAGTTCAAGATAATCGCAATTGAATTTAAAAAGTTTACTTACATATTTTAATATGTAAATAGAAAAAAGCTCATGTCGCCAAGAAACACTTTTTTTATTAAGAGCTTATTAAGATGTAATGTATTGCGCAACTTACCTAGACAAGATATGATCAAAGGAATGATCAGCGATTTAAGCATTTTCAAAAATATATCGCCAACGAATCCAATGTACATAATTTCACGTTCTGTCCAGTCATCTTTAGCCGCTCTTAATATAAACCCCAATGCCGCCCCTACCAAGACTCCACCTACTGTAAAGAGGGTTAAAGCATTGCTGCGCAGAAATCTCACGAATTTGTTGCCAGTTGGTGGAGATTTATCTTCTATTACTTCAAAATTGTGATGCATGATGATAATTGGTGGTTACTAAGATGGTTTCAGTCTGAAAAAAACAAAAAATCAAAACTGAAGATGCCACTCAAATGCATGGGAAAGTGATTGGACCTCAACTATTAAGTCAAAACAGAATTTTCATCTATAATTGACCAACCATTAAAGATTTTGCCACTTTGTCAGTCTCGCCACTAATATGTCGACTGCCTGTACTCGGTATTTTCCCTTTTATACACTGATAACTATTTTCAAGATTTGCTTAGAATAGTGGTTCGCACATGACCGTAAAGTGTATTCAACGTTTTCGCATGTTTTTAATTGAAAATTGTTTTGTTTACATTTAGTAATTTTAAAAGGATTAACTAATGTGATTGATTTCGAGAAATTTGTAAAGATCGAGTGGTATTCGAAGTTGGTCATTAGGAGTAAATTTTGTAAATTGTATCGATATTCGCATTGTTACAATGGGACACAAGTTTTGCATTATATTTTTATTTTGTCTGAAAAATATAATATTCAACATGTTCACAAGTTTTCTCCGTAAAACACCTGCATTATATTTATATTTTTCAAGAACTTTTTCATATTATCACATATTACCACCACCCCTTATATTATTATTATAAGCGTAAACTATTTTCACCCTTTGAAATCATCATTTGCCTTGATATTTCTACACATTTGCAGAACGTATATATACAAGACTACATTATTTATAAGTTCATTTGGTAGACATAATAATTGTAACTTCAAAATAGTGAGTTTTATAATAGCAGACAAATTTGAGGTGTATGTGTATGTATGTAATAAATCTGTAAAATAATGATGTGTTCAATCAAAAGCAATTTATTTTGTTAAAAAGAATGTATTTTATCAAGAGTTAATGATGCAATTTGACCCTTGAATTTAAAATATGGCCAAGCGCTTTCGACAATTGCGTTATCATCAGGGACGATGGAAACACAAMATTWACAGTTAGCACCCCAGAGAACGTCGTGCAAATGCATGAAATAAAAACTTRCTSGTCAAAACATAAGCGTACATCCCCAWGAGTGCCAAACGGGACATGCCAATTACTGGCGAGGTGCTCATACAAACAATTAAAATTGCAACACAGAACAAGAACAGATAACAAACTAACAATAAACGCAACAGAAATTTAAARTTGAAATTAAAAACCTTTGACTGGTCGAAATATACAGTCAGGCGACCAGTCCAACACTGAGCGAATGTTGGAATTAAAAACAAACTAMATTATTTTAGACGAAAGAAAAAGGTRTATTCTTCATTGCAAAATGCAGMTTCTTCACTGTACGTGTGAAATTSTGATAGAATTATTGCTGCTTAAAAACGATAATTGAACAAACGAAAAAAACRAAATGTGGACATAGCGARAATAATTGAATTAAACAGCTTCAATAATGACAAAACAATAATTAACAAYTCACAATCGCGRGGACCAATCAAGTAAAACAAGATGACAAATCAATCAAAGTAAAATTAAACTGATGCAGAGTTAATGAGAGAACGGAGAAACTGATTAGTGGAAAACTGAAATKTCTTCCAACAAATTTTATGAAATTAAAATTCTTACACTGGAGASTATTGAACAAAATTAACTGCGGAAGTCTCCAGTATGAGAGTTTTTAATTTGTCGTTTTTCTTTTTAGAATTTATTATTTTTAGTTTACCAATGCTTACCATTTATTTTKTAATAAACTAAATATTTATTGATCATCACTATTTYTACCATCACCATTGCTAATTTTTAATGAAAAATTTGGAAAGTAAGATGTTTCTTTTGGAACCGCATTTTGGAACCTAATATCAAAGTGAAACTGCAACGTTGTAACCTGTTCCAGAAAAATAACCGTTCAGCACACTTCTTGTGTGTACTCACCCGCTTCCTCTCTTCCTTAATGATGTGTTGTTGACATCATCATTTTATAACTTCATTTTTTTTTCATGAAAATCGATTTTTAACCGAGTCCGATACGCATATCGAAGAATTGTATAATGTTTCGCCCTTCAAATTTATAAAATCTGAAAGTTCTGTTCTGTTTGATGCGAATTATTTTTAGTTTGAATCGAATTATCTTTTTAAATGAATCATCAAAATTTTAAAGTCTTACAATTATTAAAAACAGTTATAAGCTGAGCAATTACATGATGTTTACTCAGCTTCCATCTACTACTAAACTATACATAACTAACATATACCTATATTTAGCGGAGTCCTTCAAGGACTTCTTTGAACCGATTTTGCTAAATGAAGAACAGGTTTAGCGGTTCTTCGTAACAGGGTGTTTAATTCGCGGGTTACTTGAATCGACATTATTTATCTAAAGACCCACATAACGATTTTGCATAATTTATAAATATTTACTCTTAACAAGCTGCAAACTTCATTCAACATTTTCAAACCAGTTTGCCTGTATCGCATTTATTCATTGGTGTCGATTAAGTAGTAGGTGAGGTTATTCGGAGAGTTGGACAAAGTAATACTAATACGGTTATAGATTTATAGTTTCATACACATTAGAATTATTTTAATAATTATTATTCATCATTGAAACATGTCATTGCTTATGTAAAGTTAATATTAGGACATGTTACTTGTGCTGAACTATATAAGGCTGGTAGAGTAAAGGTTTTCCTATTTCAGTGAACGTAAAAGTTTGGTCTTCTTCATTAATTTAATTGGCAAAAAAATTTTATTGTCTTTTTGATTTTTTGGTAACTAAAATGATAATGCTTTGTCTGTTTGGATTTTAGTTCCCACCTCAACATTACTTTTTTCACTGTATTGCATGTTTAAAGGCAACGTTTTCAGAAGAGAATGCTGATTATCATTCATTACTCACAGAGATACAACAAAACAAATTCATCATGCAAATGATGACAAGTGACTTTCAAAAACTAAATGTTTAATTGTCTGATTCCCATAGAAATTCACATTTCATTTACCAGCATTCCAACCTAATTAATGCGCCCTTGCTTCGAATTAAAACACATCCAAACTTATTGCATAACATGACCTAATTAACATCATTTCGTTTAATACTTTTTTACAAAACGGTTTCCCTTTGTCGTTCATTTATATCTATTTTTGTTTAGTTACATGTCAAAATCACTGATAAGAACAACATTTTATGATGATGAAGAACGATTTAGAACATTAAATTGGCTAATAACTATTTGATTCATAGTGAGGACCAATTTAATTTTATATATATTCTGATTGGCATTATCAGCATTTGCCCAACAAGTATAAGCATTCACATTTGGTTTGTTTTATCGTTAGAAATATGATGAATTGTTTCTGAAAATAGCCGTTCATTAGGTTTACGAACTTTAAAGGATGCAATTATAATAAATCCAGCGAAGTTTTTTCAGAGACATTTCCAAAATTGCCTGTATTTCTAGTGGCTTTCTATTCCAACATCTACCAATGAATTAATATTCTTACAGGTTTAACTAATATATATTTTCTTCTTAATTTCAGGTATGTAGATGTCGTTCATTTAAGGGAATTTTGTAAGTACAATCTTATTACAATTAATTTGAGCATAAAATTATTTGCGCGCATTGGAAATATATTTTACTATTGCAAATTTGCTTATTCCGGGGAAATATTAATTTGGAATAAGCTCTAAATGATTATCTCGAACATTTGTAACATACGTAAAGGAAGATAAATTGCTATATGTATTTGGCTGAGATATTGGATTTCAGGCATCAAACCTCGTTATACATTGACAACACGAATAATTTATGATCTCCAGATTTCAGCTGTAAAACAGTCGATAAGATTTGAGGTGATTAATCGGTATTTGTTGTAATAAATTCAAACATATACATATAATCCGGTTTTATTCCCATAATTTAATTGTTCACAAAGTGCCGACTAAGCTCGTTGTTCGTCAATTTTGCAATGATTTAGTGTTTATATTTTTTACTCTATTGATAACCAGCCCTGTTGAATATTTAGTGGGTTGTATTTGAAAAAATGACGTTCAAAGCTTTTATATTTTGGTACCATTTAGAATACTGTTTCATTTTTTGGACTGGCATATTTATCATTCTGGACACCTGTTAATCTCATGGGACTTCCGGGCACACTAACTCCATGTCCCCGTCCCTTTTATTTTACTACTGGTTCTAATTAAGTAATTAAAATGATACTTATTATCAGAGATCTTAATCATGTCCAGTCATTTTTGTTTTAATAAATGCTGTGTTCAGCTATTCATTCCTGCATGATTATTATGTGAATATTGTTTTGAACTAAGTCACGCTTATAATGGCCTTTGACCCAAAAGAACAGTGTCACTTTAATTTGTGATATTCTTTGTCCGAGTGTCTCCCAACTGCTTCAATAATTACTTTATTTTTGTTCTGGAACAATCTTATTTAATAATAATACACATAACAAATACAAATCATAATTTCACATGAATTGAAATACAAAAAGCTGTTCATTTTTATTTCAAAATCAGTTTTATGTTTTGAGGAGAAGCCACATACAAATATAGTGTACAAAGCTTGTTTTTGTCGCTGTTATGTCGGTAGTCCCAATTCACACTTTAGTTTAAGAAATTTAATCGCAAAAAAATATTTTTTTTGAATTATCAATTATCGATTTTATATGCTTAATGTCATTGATATTTGTTCATGTTTACATATTTAAAGAATCAATAGTATTCCGAGATATAAATTGTCTTACCTCATTTTAAAGATTTCTTTATTACGGTTCTTTTTGCCATTCACACTACTTACACACAAATATAGCAAATTTCACTTGTTTTCGCTTTGTCAAAAGCAGCATTAATATAATACACTCTTAGCCAAGACAGTTTGCATTTGGCTTAGGAATTTATCTCGTGCAAAATCATAGGCCAATATGAAATTTAAATAAATGCGCAAGCAACGCGTTTTGAATTATAGTACAATATGAGTCAAGGATTATTGCTTGCTTATAAGTTGCATTACAAAAGGTTGAACTTTTCACGGTTATGAGTATAATATTATTATATTATTATTAGGACTGGAACAATAATATAACATTGAATTTCCTTTTCATATGCCAGTAATACTGTTTGATTGTTAGATTTGATCTGCCGTAAAATACGCTCTGATTGTTATTTATATTGGTTCTCAATTTTAGTTTTTAAAACATTTCAAAATTTAATACTAGAACTGAATCCGCATCTACTGCTCAAATTCAATACAAGTCCACATACATTGCTAAAAAAAATGTTTTTAAAGCTTCCCGCACCATTTCAATGCACCAATATGACTTAAATTGTGATATCAATTAAAAATCATTATTATTGCCATACGGTTAATGATCTAATAGAGGCTTGGGAACAAGCTTCTTAAGTGCTGGAAAAAGTTCTCAACGACTCAATATACAATTCGATAAAATCTTTCATTCGTCCGTTTACATAATAAATCGTTTTATCTGGAAACAGTTACCGATGTTATTTGACAAAGTTGAAAAAACGCATCAGTTCTCAGAGATCGGGATGAGTAATAGAAACATTTCATGTTGACGAGAACGTGGTTCCAGATTACCTACTGTTTTATTATTTATCAACACTTTCTATCCTCTGGACTGGTGTCGGGATTATGATAAATGAAAAACGAGATCTAGTTTTTAAGGTATTTTTGATGAGCTTCAGGTGCTGTCTGTTTAACCCGATTTAATCGATAAGATGCTTATTGCAATAATTGATTCCTGAAGAATCATTGACGAGGACGGGTTTTTGCACAAGCCAACTTTTTTTGTTGTACCGGATGACACACAAAGGTCTCGAATAAATGATAGAATTGAATTTTTTGCATCTGCATCAAGAACTATTTTTTAAACTTTACTACCACAGGGTTCGTCCTGTTTATCAATTTTTTACAAGGCAAGTTACAGGGTGTGGTCAATTATGTCTTGTTCTTAAACAAATTAATTAAAATGAAGAATTAACACACTAAATTACAGAAGGAAACTGATAATACCTGAAAATAAAGTAATAGACTATGGAGAAATAAAACGGCACATAATGAAGTGCGCGGAGATCTTACACGAACATATACAAGATTCGAACATAGACATCTTTCATCAAGAAGACTAAAGGATTGAACAAATATGAGGATAAAAAATGCTAAAAGAACATAAATGTCGAAAACAACTAGACAAAAATCAAGGAAGGGAAACAACAAATGACAAAGTTATTAAATGACGACTAAGAAGCGATTACTGAGGTGGAAGGAATAACATGAACAGTGGAGAAATATTATAAATCACTAGGCTAAGAAAACACTTCAACCAGGGAAAGAAGAAAAAATACAAGTGCGGTCAAAACTGTAGGGTCCGAAGATCTAAAACGTCAACAGAAATATAAAACGCTCTTAAACGCATGCTCAATGCATTAGTGGTGCAAAAAGCACCAGGGGCAAATGGCATTATGGTAGAAATGTTAATGTATATGAAATGTTTCAGTAGTATCGACCACTTTTGTTTATATGAAATGTTTCAGTAGTATCGCTTGCAATAAAGACACTAACAGAAAAAACAAATAAAATTAAGATTAAACATGGACTAAGACAAGGAGATTCAATCTCACCCAAACTATGTTCCTTGGCTCTAGAAGATATGTTCGAACCCTGAATTGGCAGAACAAAGGAATTCTAATAGACGGAAAATCATGTCAGAAAGTCTGCCTGAAACAGCTGGCTAGGACGCAGCAACTAGGCTGGACATGACTGAATAGAAGAGACTGCAGAAGGGACTGGCAGGAGGTAAGGGAGGCGTTTGCACGACGATGCGCGAATTAAGGTGCTGAAGAATAAGAAGAAGATAGACAAATACTTCATCTTTCTCAATCGAACATCTCATCTATCCTGCATCAAAAATAATAAACATTGCAGTTTATCGAAAAATAAAAAATACGAATGATGAATGTGAAATTTGGGGTAGGTTTCTGGTCAATGATTATTTGTGAATGAATTCAACTTCAAGAAGGATTGTAATAATAGTTATATATTACTACTTCCTCTAAAGAGAATGCTATTCGTCAGTAAAAATTATTTTTTGTTTCAAAAAATTTCTTATTAATCTCGTTTGGTAAAGTGTATTTTGCTGCCAAACATGTTTACTATGTGCAAAGATCAGAATACTTTATGAATGCACCTAAAGCAAGTTGTGTATTAATATTGTAATCTGTGGATAATTTGAACTTGCAGCGGTGTAAATTTATACCTGCTGCTAATCCTCCAGTGGTATTAACATTTTCACTGATTGTGCTGACTACAAAATCGTATTGGTTTGAATATCAACATTAAATGAAACTTTAACCTGGCAACATGATAGAGACTAATACAATCATACGTATATTATCACCGTCTGTTACAATATTTCTCGATCAAAATAATCAAAATCCCCGATATGCACAAATGTACTAAGATCCAGTATTTTACAGATTTTACTGGAAATTTATCAGAATTCTGTATAACAAACAACTACTGAAATTTTGAAAAATTTAACTCATTTTATATTTCAATAGTGATAGCACGTTGATTTGTTCACGCAATGGTCATAATTTAATGAGAGCTGTAATCGTTAAGCGATAAGAAAGTTTTAGTGTTAAAATTTGAATTAAGTTACAGTATTTTACGATTTTTCTTTGTCGTTGCAATTTCAAACATTGGTGCATGTTTAATGACATTGTTAAGCAACTAAGCTTTGTTGCTTCAACTGTTGTAAATTTGATTACTATATTTAAAAACAATCATAACATTGTATAGCAGATTTATTAAGGTGGTTGCTAACCGCAACCTTTAATTGATTAATTTAAGTAAAGTTTTGTTACTTACTTATAAGTTCTGAAAGTCTCACGCAACGCGCACCAACTTTGCTTCACTCGCTGCTACAGATTTCTCACGAATAACAATTATTCAGTGATGTTGTCGTCTGTCAGAATTCATTGATATAAGTAGAATTAATCCAACACTTATCTTATATGGTGTAATAAAAGTGCTTTGTTATTAATGGGAAAGGTTCCCGCAAAAAGCCGGCTATTCGGGATGAACCGCCTTTCTCGCTTAGCCGATGGGATAAAAATGCGTTTAATGCAACAAGTATCACACTGTGAGCATATATCAAGCCCATATAATACCAGTTTAATCGAGATCGTTTAAGGTTGCAAAACTTTGTTTCTGTATCCAAGATATCATCTACATAATTAAAACACGCGTTTTAATATCTCTGTTTTTACAACGAAAAGAAGTGAAATGAATGATCTGGCTCGATCTGGTTCAAGTCGGATACCAAATTAACAAGTTTAATTAAAATGTTTTAATTCTAACTTCCTTCCACGCAAATTAGATGGTGGGAACTCCAAATTTTCTAAATTTGTTTTGTTTCAGCTTCGAACTACATCTAATGCAATTTTTTTTAAAACTGAGATAACATGATTTTTGAACACCCTGTAAAAGTTGCTACAGGGTGTGTACATTTAACTAGTTATTGCATATTTTATGCGATGTGCTTCAATAACTTGCGAAGTATTCCTAATATTTTATTAATTATTCTGATAGTATGGTTGAAACAAATTTAAAATGAAATTAGCAGAGTCAAAAGGAAATGTGAATATGGATGATAATAAAAATCAACTTATTACTTTTTTAGACCATATCTGTCTTGCCCTCGATTTATATTTTTAGCCGTATTTAATTTTCGGAAAATCAATTTTCACTTTTCTTGTTATTAAACTTATTATCGAGCCATTTTTTCGTGCTAAAACAATGTGGAATTCCAAAAGTATTAATTTATTTATGTAAATTGATCTTTCTAATGGAACATTTTGTTAAATAACCTGATGGAAAAGTAATTAGAAATATTTTACTGTTTCTCTACTTTCATGAATTCACCTTGAAGTAATCAACTATAAATCTTAATGAGCAAGTGGTGATTTGACGATCTGTGGTAAATTAGTAGAATTGACAACTGGACAATATATTTTGCTGTTCGTTTTAAAAAACATTTCCCAAAGTTTCGAACAGTTTACCAAGAAATGCGTACAACTGTAACAATGCTTTTAATTTAAAAAAATAAAAATATACCAGTTACACTGCTCTATGCATACTCAGAATTTCAGAAACTTGGAGTTATTTCAAACATATTTAGATTGATGTTTTTCTATATCTTATAATTTGAAATGTTTTAAGAAATTCATTATTCGAATAGAAGATACGTGTACGGTATAAGAAATTTCCCCCAACCTAAAGTGCATTAATTTGTTCAATTATTAGTTTCCTTTTAATAAAGCATAATTTTTACGCCAAAATCGTACAATGATTTTGATTTCTATAAGTCAACTTAATTAGTTGGAAAGTTATGGATATTTTAATAACGAGTTTAGTAATTGGCTTCATTCAAAGGTAATTTTAATTTAAAAAAATAAAAAAGGATGTACCAAATATGATTTTATTATCACGAGATCAAACCCTACTAGGGACGGTAATAACCGTTGTAAAAATTAAATAGATTTTTTAGTAGAAAAGTACAGCTAGACCATTTGCGGTTAGACGGGGGAAACATATCTGTGGGTATTTGCGATTTACACAGATGCTTTGCGTATATTAATATGGTTATTTTTTCATGCGTTCTGTAATGTAATCGGATTTGCACAATTATCACTTTCACCTAACTGCAAAAAGCATGTGTCAAGGTTGGTTTGGTCTTTTCGTTTAATTAATTGGAAACTTGGTCACTTCAATAATACATTCCCGTGTAAGGTGGCTCAATGTATAATTAAATTGTTGTATCTTCGATGTTCGCGATTTCCAAACTTATGTAGTGGTCAATTTTTGGCAATTTAGTTTCATGGAAATCGTTATTGATCAACTTAAGTCTGCGTGAAGAATTAAGTTCAAGTGCCAGTTTCTTACAAACACGGAACTTACATAATCAGATTCTAATATTGATTCAGTTCTAATGTCATCAGTTGATATTTTCCAATTATTCTTTTACGTTATTATGTTATGAATGGATATTTATTATTGTTTAATGAACTCAAATCAACACATTTGAGTATTTAGCCAGAATTAGAAGGATACTTTATCTCCGTATAATAAAACAGTAATATTTGAGAGCAGTAAATTCTAAAATGCTCAACAGGAAAAGTATAATAGTGGTTATAGCCATAATTAAATTGCAGACACGAGCCAACGTCATTACTCACCTGCTGAGCATATAAAAACAATTAAAATGGGAAATTACATAACGCGAGTGTAATTATTATTAACCGTCGCCAAATTGTCAGCAAGATTATCAATTAACCCTAAAAAAATAGTGGATGAATTCCAGAATGCATAGAAAATTTTAAACTTGAATATGTCTTGATGTTGTATATCCGCAGATAAAATTAATTTAATATTTAATTGGGACAAATTTCATATTCATATCATTCTTAAAAATGACAATATTGGCCATAGCATTCTAAATGCATATTTGATATTAATTCAAAGATTTAAAATCCTCATCTATTGGCACGACTATGTGGAATTGTAATTAAAATTGGTTGGTTTGTGTGTAAACCCAAGTTTACATCTTATGGTGTGGTGCGTCTAAGTCAGCTCATACATACGTGGTTCCTTCATTTTAAGCTTTACTAACTTTTATCGGCATATTAAAGATAATATATTACATTATGTGCTCTCTTTCTATTGGCATTCCACTATATATATAGCGCAATTAAATGTAAGTAATTTGATGATGGGTATTTGCCGAACTGGAAACATTAATTAAAAAATGTTAATACCTCACAAATGCGATCTTAATAATAAGAAGTGGGCATCAGCATACATTTCTTGCACTGTATAATGATTATTGAGATTTAACTATCCGAATTTTTAGATCAAATATTAATAGTCCGAATAAGTTTGGTACTTACGATTGATGCAACTGGCAAACACTAACTTATTAACCTTAAAATTTTACACACAGCTACGCTAGTAACTAAAATATACGCCCTTTTTATTGTAAATATGTTTCACCTACGGTTTTGCGTGAAGCATTAATCTGTTTTGTTAATTAAGTTCAGAGCAATCAATAAACGTGTTACAGGGTGTTTGCTAGCTAGATAAAAGACTACACCGTAAAGTGTAGTTTACATTTCCAGGCCAGAGGTTATTAAGCTGATTTAGCTCATAAGCATTTCAATCACTATATGATCTTAATATTTCGCTAGATCAATGATAATGTCACTAGAGGTATTCTGTTTCACTATTTTGCGAGTCAATTATAAACTGAATTATTATCTAAAAAATATTGATTGTCGCTGGAAGTCCCAGTTTCCTTACTAATTGAAATTGCCTAAATATGAGAATAAACCCGACTTTTGTGTGCAGGTGTAACTTGAAGAACACTAAAACAGAAGCGGATTAAAATCAATTTATTGATTGTTAGGCTGAAATAAATTTATCATAGAATTGGCGAGAGAAATTTTTTTTCACATTGCCGATGTGATGTCATTGTGATGTCTGTTAGTGCCGAAAGATTTTGTACTGCTTTTGCGACATTTGATTGTGCGATATAAGTGCAGTGTCGTCCGCATATTGCTATATGTGTTGCATATGTCATGGCAAGTTGCAGTATTGTAAAGAAAGGCAGAAAGCAACCATGAGGTTATTATTATCATCAATTTGTTAAATCTCTTTCTTAAATTTGGCTTTATTGTTCATTGTCATTGGATACTATTTAATTTCTAAATTGTTTTCAGCTAATGTGAGTTTAGGCTTGCTTATTCCTTAAAGTTTTGCAATTTCGGAACTAAATCATGTATTAAATAAGCTGATTAGAAATTTGTACTGCGGAAAATTAACTCATTCATTATGATTTCTCAACTTAACTCGGTTATTTCACATTCTTTTATGTTTATTTATTTGTATGTCGATCATCATCGATTCAATGGGACAATTCAGCTCTCAACTTCGAAAGGAATTTCGAAATGTTCGCAATTCTTATATAATTTATTTTGTTATTTGAACGAAATATCACTGATTGCCAGCAAATAAATCTTCTGTCGACTTTGTCGCACATGTTTGTACTTATTCGTAATTTTATTTAGTTGTTTGTGTAGATACAACTACATGTAGAAAATGTGGAACTTCTAACTACATTGATGTCTATTGCGACCTAATAATCTCAAAATACAATTCACTGAGAAGTTTGTCTTGCAGAATTTCACACACCTATTACTGCCAACCTAACATTGTGGGAGTATTCACTGTAGCGATATGTCGTCATGCACTGCATTACTGTCTAGGAATTGTTCAATTTAATTTTAGCAATAATTAACGTGACCTATAAGTTTCGTCTTCACGTAGGCTTCTGATATATTTTCCGTTATTCAAATGCTGTAATATTTATTCCTGAATGCTGCTATATAGAAATCAAACCCAAGCATTGGACGTCTTAATGTAACAGCTTTTTTTATTAATATACATATATCTTAATATGACCACAAAACTAATTTCAATAAAAGTTTACTGGAGACGACACTGACGAAGACTCGTCTGTTACTCAATGGAATGCAGTACTGGAGCATGTTTGTGTACTACATTCACAATGAAATTGTGTTCTATTTCATTCTTGTTTACGAATTATATTATTAGAAAACGGAATTGACATTTTTGTTGGCTGGAATGCGTTTAACTTGTTAAACATCGTTGTTTGATTGATTATCGCACAGTTTATTTTAATTCCAATCGTCGTGTTAACCCAGTTTTTAAGATGCTTTTTTCATTCACTTCAAAATACAATTTTTGCTTCATATTTTTCTGTTTCAAAGCATTTGTTTCGATGTGCTTGTCATTGATTATTTGCACGCAGGAGCGTTCGCTAATTGGTTTTTATATAGATTTCTCGATTCTAAATGCAATTTACTTTAAAGTTTTCCAACAGAACAGACAAGTTAATATGAAAAGTCAAGATACGGTAGTTGAATATTTATTTATGTACAATTTACTAACTAATTAGTCAATTTTCCTTCACAAATGCGTTTTTTTATCTCGCTGAGCGTAAAACCATCAGTAAAATACTATATTATCTAAAGTGCCGTATTTTGAAGGTATTTAATTTGCTGGTTGTATTGGTAGGTTTGGA